AATCTGGAAAAGAACCCAATAGCACATGATCGAAGTAAGCACATCGAAATGAGATTCCATTATCTTCGAGAGCAGGTAGCAGATGGGAAGATGAATTTGGAACACTGCAGAACTGAGAATCAGATTGCAGACATCATGACGAAGGGAGTGCAAGTCGAAGTATTCAGAAAGCTAAGAGCCATGATGAACATAGACAGTTTAGACATAATGAATTAGGTGGTGTGTTAAATTGTAATTCATAGTGTCAAAGAAGATTTGATTTATTTTAGATTTAAATAGATTTGATTTAAGTCCAGAATAGATTTGATTTGGTTTGATTTAGTAACAAAAAGATATTTTGGGCTTTGGGCTTAGGGTGTAAGCTCAGTTATAAATAGAGGGAGTAACCCCTATTTTTAAAAGCAAGTCAAGTAAGTCAATTCATTGTAATCACAGAATTTGCAGTTGCAAGTGATTAAGAAAGTTTTCCACAGTTTATGGGCAGAGAGAAACTCTGCAGAAATATTTGTCTTGTCTTATTTTCTTTGTTTGTCTCATAATTAAATTGTCATTATGGTAGAAATTCATCATAGAATTTGGTGGATTTCCAACATTCATAACCATATCCTTTTGGCTTATGAATTAATTAAAGGCTACTCTAGGCAAACTGGAACTCCAAGATGCGTGCTTAAAATTGATATGCAGAAGGCCCATGACATGATTGACTGGTTAGCTCTTGAAAATACCTTGCAGGAAATTGGTTTGCCTCTTAAATTCATTAAGTGAATAATGATTGCTATCTCTATTGTCTCATATAGATTTAGCATTAATGGTTTCCTTACTGATTTTCTCCAAGCCAGAAGAGGTATAAGACAAGGGGATCCCATATCCTCTTATCTTTTTGCTATTACCATGGAATATATGCAAAAATGATTACACAAAACGCAATTGAATGTCAATTTCAACCATCATGCCAAATGTGAGACTTTGCAGTTAACTAATCTTATTTTTGTTGATGACACTCTCTTGTTCTTTAGAGGAGATGTTGACTCAATTACCCTATTGATGAAAGCTGTTAATAGCTTTGTTGCTTCTACAGGTATAAACATTAACAAAGATAAGAGTATAATTTATTTTAGTAATGTAGATGCTCGGACTATAAACAATATCCTTGCCCTGACTTCTTTTAAGGTAGACTGCCTCCCTTTTAGATATATGGGTGTGCCCCTAACACATAAAAAATTATCTGTGACCCATTATCTGATTCTGATTGAGAAAATTACTAGTAGGACCAAACACTGTTCTACTCATTTGTTGAGTCAAGCAGGTAAGCTCCAATTGATCGAGAGCGTTAGTTTTGCGATGGTCAATTATTGGCTTGATTGTTTTCCTTTTCCTAAGTTTGTGATTAAGAGGATTGATTCCATTTTTCCGTCTTTCTTCTGGTCTGGTGAAGCTATCATTAGTAGGAAGAGTCCAATTTCTTGGCAGCAAGTTTGCAAGCCTAAGAAAAATGGTGGTCTGGGCATTATTAAGTTGTCTAAGTGGAATGATATTGCTATGTTAAAATTACTTTGGAACTTGTGCAATAAAAAGGACAACCTTTGGGTTAGATGGATTCACTCTTATTATATGAAAAAGAAGAAAATCATGGAGGCTGATATTAATCCATATGGGACCTAGATTATGAAACAAGTTATGCTCAAAAAGAGATATGATTCCTATTATTCAAAATACTTGGAACCAGATGAATATTCAAGGTAATTTCAAGATGAAGGTTGTGTACAATGAATTAACCAAAGATTATCATGAACCTGAGTGGAACCATCTATTCATAAATAACCCTGCGAGGCCTAGGGCCTTGATAACCTTATGGCTTGCTTGTCACTGAATTTCAGCTACGAAGGAAAGGCTACAAAGATTTGGCATGATTTTTGATACTGTTTGTTGCTTCTGTCAGCGGGTTGAATCCTTGAATCACCTGTTTTTTTAATGTTCTGAATTGCAGGAAATTTAACATAGTGTCTTGAGATGGATGCAAGTGAATCATGTTCCGAGGGGTTGGCATTTGGAGATTTACTCTTGAAGCTTGCTACAACTGAACAATTTATAGTTTGTGGTGCTATAGAAATGACAGGTGCTTTGGCAACATGAGGATACATAAGAACATATTGAACCAAATCTTAGATATCATTGTCTTTAGAGTCTGGAATTGTAAGAGGTTAAACCTCGTATAGTTGAATTTATGTTGTAATAGGCTTTTCCTTTTTGTCTTCTTATGGGTTGGATCATTTGCGTTCGTCTTGTACTTATCGATCTTTTTTTGAATATATCAAGCTTTGTTCAAAAAAATTTATCAAAATGTGTGATAGTGAGATTCAAACCCATAACCTCATACTTACAAGCCTTTACTCCTTACCAATTATGCTATCTCATTTTTTTGAAATAAGAAAGCACTTGAAAGCATATGAAGGTCTAACAAGTATTTATTATTTAAAAAATACAAATAATTTAGAGTAAACTATTATATATTTTTAAATAAACAAAATAAATTAATATTGAAATGTTAGTAAAAATAAACTAAAAATTTTATAAAACCCAAGTTTAAAAATAATTTGATTGTTAGAAATAGGACGAATAAATTTGGGGTATGATAGTTACAGTTAACATTGCACATAAATGAAATTAAATCCTAATGCATACTTGATCCATATATCAAGCCATACTCCAAACTTGTAAGTTGGTTGCTTTATGCATCGTCGTCGATCACCCCAAAGCATACTTGATGCATATATCAAGCCATACCCCAAACTTGTAAGTTAGTTTCTTTTGCATCGTTATCAACATTTCTCGTTCACCTCAAATCATCTTTCATAATCAAAAAGTTTCAAACCTCGATCCAACGTCAAGTTGTATTTTCAAAGAATTTTTTATAATAAACATGGATGTGAAAAAGGTTCGTTGAGCACCTCTTGCTCCTCTAACTACAAGTATTTAGATCGTTGGTTGTTAGACCTATTGTCTACGACTCGTTCTCCATGCATAAAAAACTTAATAATTGAACCTTGCTTCACATCACCTTTTTTCATAAGAAAAACTTTTGGGATGAAATACAATTGGTTGAGTACCGCTTGCTCCTCCAATTTATACTATTTGGATCATTGGTTGTTTAGACCAGTTGTCTGTTACTTATCACCCATATAAAAACAATTTCAACTCATCAAACTTATTTTTTTTCCCTTGTGCAACTTCAAAGACCTTTTCAAAACGAACGTGCCTTAGCCATTTTGATTCGAAACGAACTCAAAGACTTAGCGTCTCAGACGAGCAAACAAGTCAAAGTTCAAACGTTTGAAATGTTTAACGCACCATTCTCCTAAAATCAACCAACAAATCTGTGGTTTTTTAGATGAACTACAAAGTTCTGACTTCTTTGTTGCATTGGGAGGGTACGTAGGCAGAAGATGTGAAGTCTTGGCGAGCACAATAAAATAAAAAACTAAAACCCTTCTTCTTTCTCTTTTCTCGAATAAGTAGAAGATCACAAACTATAAGGCTAACACTCAAACACACACTAACCAAATAATTCCCATTGAGTACGATAGATGTGGGGGGGTGCTAATACCTTCCCCTTGCATAACCGACTCCCAAACTCTCTCTTGGTTGTGATGACCATTTATTTTCTTTCACGGGTTTTATTCGATATTTTCCCTTTCTTTTTGGAATAAATAAATCTCGGTGGAGACTTCATTGTTTTTTATTTCGAGCGTGCGATGTGCTCGGGTATTTTTTATACCACTTTAGTCGGCCAAATCTATAACTATTGGTGGTATTCCTTTTGACTTTTGCTTATTTGTTTCTCTTTCAATCTCATTCAATTTGGTGAACTCTTGCATCCTTTCAACAAAATGGTCCGGTCAAGTCTCGACTTTGGTTGTTGAATGATTTGTCTATTCCAATTTCAAATAAACTTGAACAAAATGCCACAAATTTGAACCACCCAACACACATAATACGATCATTTGGATTTGAAGGTGGTGCAGTGTGTAGTGGAAAAAAGTTTTTGAGAAACTGTATCTTGTAAGATCATATCATACGCATTTACTATGAAATGATTCATTTCAGGGAAGCTCATTCGTTTAGCAATTACACAATTTATTTTTTCGGAGATGCATCTTCGAAGTAACCTGACATGCAAAGATGACACACTATCAAATTTGCGTTTTAAATGTTTGAAGACACATCTCCGAATAACTCAATTAAATGCGTAACAAAAATATCATTGCATATTATGTGATGGAGATGTATCTCTAAAATAAATATAAAAAAATTTGACTATAGGACAAACGATGCGTCTCAAAATATATTTCTAAAAATTGAGGAGCATTTTTGGTTTTCCACCTCATAGAATGGATTAAGAAATTTTCGTTAAAAAATTTAAATGATAATAATTTTAAAAGAAAAAAAATGCTTAAATAAAATAGGAGAAAAAAATATTTTTACTAAATAAAATGTAGTGAAAAATAGTATATTATGAGTGATGCAAATAGTATAAAATTAAAGATTATGATTGAAATTAAAATAAATAATTAGTATTATTTTAAAAAATGACTATTTTTTAAAACATTTATTTTACGAATAGATTCATTATTTTGTGACGAAGTGAATATATCACAAAAATACAAAATTTGTTTTTGAAATAATTCTAATTTATCTTTTAGAAAAAATATTCATCATTTGCAAATACATCAAGATGTAACGAAAAATATGATTTCTATTAATTGTTTTTGACGATTACTAATATTCTTTTATTAGTTAAAATTTTACCTCAATTATTCCGTCAAAATATTTATTATACTTTAATTAAAGTTACTCTAATTTAATCCAAAAAAATTGAAGGTAAGGTAATTATGTCAACCAATAAGCGTTTATTTACTCAGTGGTGGTTCTCTTCTCCGGTATCAGAATCCTAGGGAAATTGATTAACCAGCCGCCGTAACTACCGCCGCAACTGAACTGAAATGTTGTTGTCACAGTGCCATCTTCTTCACTCTCAAATCCCTAATAACACCTCCCTTCTCCAACTCCAACCAAACAAATTGACCTCTCCGTCATCTTCCAGACTCAGACTCAGACTCAGAGCCATGGCTTCCTTTTCGCCTCCTCACCAACTCACTCACTTCGCCGATGTCGCCAACAAGGCCGCCGACGCCGCCGGAGATGTCATCCGTAAATATTTCAGGAAAAATTTCGACATTATTCACAAACAGGATCTCAGTAAGTAATTCACTCACGATTTTTTCAATATTTCACTTTCGTGATTGTTGTGATAATATTTTGATTCATTCACGCAGGTCCTGTCACCATTGCTGATCAATCCGCTGAGGAAGCTATGGTTTCTGTCATACTTGACAATTTCCCTTCTCATGCTGTGTAACTCTTTTTTCCTACTTGTTTTTTTTGTTGGTATACGCTATGACCTGTTTTCATAAGCTATTTCGGATGACTTATGAGAATAAGTTGAAACCGGATTGTAGATTATGTACTTAAAATTACTGAAGCGCTGAGCCTGGATTTTACACTAAATAAATTGCAGTTATGGAGAGGAAAAAGGGTGGAGGTGTAATCAAAACAGTGCTGATTATGTTTGGGTATTAGATCCCATTGATGGAACTAAGAGCTTTATCACTGGTATATTTCCTTAACGTCACTAATATTGGGTCATTCAGAGTACTTAAACTTACATTTATTTTAACTCTCCGCATTTTGTATCCATTTCAGGGAAACCCTTATTTGGTACTCTCATTGCTCTTTTGCAAAATGGCACACCAGTAAGTAATTTTCTCATCTCATACCACTTCAATGGCTATGTAGAATTTAACACTGTCGTTTTACTTTCCTTCGAAATAATGAATCTGACTTATTGAAGAGTGAAGAAAAACAGGATAGTCAATCATCTTGATTTTTTTTAATATTTAAAACAAATCATAGTCTTTTCAATTTAACCGGTTAATTGAGTAGACAAATTGAGATGTTACTAAGATGAACTACAAATTGTAATCAGTAGTAAACTTTATGTTTTAAGTTTTGTTTCCTTTTCATCAGATCCTTGGCATAATTGATCAACCTGTGTTAAAAGAAAGATGGATTGGGATAACTGGAAAGAAAACTACTCTCAACGGACAAGAAGTGTCCACACGCACTTGTGCGGATCTTTCTCAAGCATACCTGTATGATTTTCTTCATTTTCCTTTGCAAACTTTTATTATGAACAGTTCTTAAGTGGAAAAGGAATAACAAGGACTTTCTGAAAAACTGCAGTTGAGAATTTTTTCATCAACTGCTTTCGACATGGTTGCCATGGATTTCACAATTCTTTATGGTAGCTAATTTAATTTAATTTATTCGCAACCCAGGTACACTACAAGCCCACATCTTTTTAGCGGAGATGCAGAAGAGGCGTTTATCCGAGTTAGAGACAAGGTCTGTTGCATTTCTTTACCAAATTGTAAACATATAGATAGTGCACATAGTATCATAAATGGATAAAATATGTCTATCAAGTATTTGCTTTGAGGCGGTATGTTTTTCATAAATAGAATACTAGTTAAATTTGTATGAGGCATTTAGCACACAGGTCTTGTTTCTAAAACAAGCAGAATTGGAATATGATCCACTAATGTTAGCAATTCAGTCTATATATCATTGTAGTGTATTGCTGACTCCACCTTTCCTAGACAAGTGATTTCTTAATCCTATCAGCTTACAGTATTGCGCTACCGTTCGCCTTGTTCTTATTTATGAAGTAGCTGAAATGTCACTAGGAAGTGGGGTTTGAATAGTCACCCTTTTAAAAATAGTGTATTTAAATGATTTTGTAAAAAAATGATTTAAGGAGAAAAGAAAAGTAAATAAAACACACACGCAAGTTTATCCTTGTTCCCCAATGTTGGTTAGTCCAGTCCTCACACACATTGAGATTTTTCTTATTCCTCACAAACTATTCTTGTCAAGAATAAATGTGGTAAACTTTTCTCTAAGCCTCAAAAGGCTTTACAATTATTAAAGACTCTTACGTACAGTGAGATTTTTCTTATTCCTCAAACTATTCTTGTCAAGAATAAATGTGGTAAACTTTTCTCTAAGCCTCAAAAAGGCTTTACAATTACTAAAGACTCTTTTCTTTAGATTTTGATTACACTTCTATTTGCAAGTATTTTTATATCACTTGAGGATATACAATTTGATCATAAGTTAACAAAGGACTTAAAACACTATATGGCAGTGATAAGCTTTGTATAAGTGAGATTTTGACTTTTCTCAATTTGAATGAAGCTTTGTATTTAAATCACCAGAATGTGTTTAAGGCTTTCTTTTCTTTTTCAATTGATGAACTTTCCTTGAGATAGGATGGCCTATTTATAACCTCAATTTGAAACGTGGCCGTTGCGAAGTAATGATGAATCCTTTGTACTTTTTGTGATAGGATGTCCAAAAGTTATGTCAAGGTTGAAGCCTCAATATAATTGACTTGATAATCCTCACGAAATATTTTGCCGTATGTTTCATTTGTACTTTTGAGGAGATAGATCTGTATTAAGTGAGTCCTCTTTTATCAATGAGGATTTAGACGAATGTCATTTAAAAACAAAATTGAATTTGTAAATGAGATCTCTTTATCAATTCATTTCTTTGATAACCTGTCTACACACTTTTAAAACAAAGGTTAGATATCATAATCATGAGTTGTTATCTTCAAAATTATGGGATGTTTCAACAATTTATGTCTATGCTGTGAACTATTCTATGAATGATGACTGCTTCTGACAGTAATGATGATAGACAATTTTCTTTCCCAAAAGATACATCTAGATTTATTATCATCATTCAGTTATTCTATCTTTTGCACTCTTCAGGTCAAAATTCCATTATACGGCTGTGACTGCTATGCATATGCTCTTTTGTCTTCTGGCTTTGTGGATCTTGTAGTTGAGTCCGGTCTAAAGGTATTCCCTATTGTCCACTCTTTGGTTGCTTGCGTTCATTTAAGAATTTTGTGATTCATTCAGAGAATAACTCAGATGATTAAAACCATATGGGTCGTTATTTTCTCATTATCTGAATATCTTCCTTGGGCGAACTTTTGTATTTCACAGCCATATGATTTTCTTGCATTGATACCTGTTATTGAAGGCTCTGGAGGTGTCATAACTGATTGGAAAGGACAGCAACTCCGTTGGGAAGCTTCGCCACTTTCAATCGCAACAAGTAAATTCTCAACCAACATCTCTCCTTTAAAAGTCTTTCCTAATTTCTAATCCATTCTTAGAACATGTTAAAACTGAATAGAACATATGGATTTTGCTCTCTTTTGTTCCATTGTTGTCTTAACGAATTGCCCGTTACAGGTTTTAATGTTGTAGCGGCTGGTGACAAACAGATTCATCAACAAGCTCTAGATTCATTAAAATGGTAGTATGGATGCTAACCAGAGTACGGTTCAAATCTGTAATCTTCTTTAGAAGCCAATTCCTAGTTCAGATGTTCCCAAAGACGCATATTATGATTCCATTGTTAGGCACTGTGACATATCAGATATTTTTGTTGAACCAAAATATTAAGATGTACCTTAAAAGGAAAGGTGAGTAGGCAGTGAAGGATAATTGTCAGACTACAAATGAAGAAGAGATGCTAATTCAGTCTCAGGACGTGGTTTGGTTCAGAGTTGCTAAACTTATTTCTAAAATAGAATGCTGAAAATAAATGTAACCATGTTTGTTATGAAAGAATAAAACTATGTTCCTGGAAACAAATATTACCAGAGTTTTTTCCCATGAAGACATGATTTTTATCCCCTTTTCAAAAATTAATGTGCATAATGCATGCATGTAGAAACACTCAATCTATACACAAATGTTGACCGGAAGTTAAGAATCAACCAATTTAAAGAACTAAAAATTCTAAATCCGTAAATAAGTTGTAAATAATTCAATCAAAACTAGATAATTCAATCAAATAAGTTGTAACCAATTATAGAAATAGATATTAACAAATATGGTTTTTACGATTTATAAAATATTACAATTGATAAATTCATAATAAAAGAAATTATAAATAGAATAGAATGTAAATAGCCTCAACAAAAACAAATTATACAAGATAATTTTATTATTGTTATTAGATATCGAAGACTAAACATATTTTAGTTGTTCTTACGAACTTCAAAAATAAAATTCAAAATTTTTAATTATCATCCGACCACTTTAAAATTTCCTTGAAAAACAATTCTCGCCATTATATGGACTAGAACCAATAAAAGGTTTAATCATAAATCCATTATAAGACCTCTAATCTAACTATGATATTCAATATAGAATTCTCAACTTTGAATTCAAATTTATACAGTACATCAAAAAAGATACGAATTTACATAAATAAATTTTTAATGTTCATGGACACTCTAAAGTGAATGTTCTTTAAAGTTAGTTCATCCGATTGAGATATTAAACGTAAATCAATTTTTATTAAGATATTTTGAAATAAACTGTCTTAAAAATCTCCTCATCTAATTGATATTAAATATAGATTAATTTAAAAAATCTGATTCACAATAATTCATAACGGATTATTACATTAATCATAATCTCTGTAACATTGCTATCAAACTTAGGTAGCCTATAATTTCTTCATCATCCATACATAAACATAATAATCAACTATTTCATAAGTATAATTACTCACTTGGGAGTAATCAAAGTCATTCTTATCCTCTAGAGATTCATTTATACTTTTATAGGATTAATCTATATTTATTATTGAGACACCTAAATTCAGAAGTTTCTCAAACTATCAAATAGTCCGACTTTTCATTTCCTTTACGTAACATTTGTCTCGACACATTATCAATCAAATTCCTCTCATTCTAAGAATTACTTATTCACGGTACATCACCCGAGTAATTATTATTAGAATAATATATAAGTATAATATAAGTGTGAGTAAGTGAAAAAATAATTTCATATTAAATAGAAATGTGGAGATTTGAACATATATAAGTAGGATAACTCACTCACCTATCATCTTAAGATTTTAAATGGATAAGTGGTATGTCTCTCACAAAGTTCTCAATCTTTGTATTGTGCATAATCCTCAACTTTAAAAAATGATAGAGAAAAATAAAGTACACACACCGAGTTACTAGAAACATTGCTACAAAGTTGATGATTATGCACTTTTGTGAAAAACACACCTTCTCCACATTTCTATCCAACGTAAGACTATTTTTCCACTTACTCACATTTACATTATTATTCTAACAATAATTACCGGAGCAACATGATGCAAAATACTTAATCATTAACCATAGCTTAGAGCTCAATTATCACAATTAAAATTTAACAAGGTTAAATATGTTTTTAGTCCCTATAAATATCTCAAATTTCATTTGTAGTCCATATTAAATATTAAAGAGTATTTTAGTATTTTTAATTTTTTTTAGATAACTTAGTTATTAAGTCTATTCTATTAGGGCCTATGTGACATTCTCTTTTGTGCATAAATAGACTAGTTGTAAATGTCATAAATACACAACAACATTTATTCCTCTTGCAGCTTTTACAGCCGTCATTTTCTTTGTGCGTGGCATTCTGAAGATTGTGAAGTCTGAGAAGTCATGTGAGGTATGCATGAAAAGAAAGCAATCGAGATTGCCATTTGTGTCAGAAGTAGCCTCAATAGCAAAACATGCTTTGAGAGTAGTGCATTCTGACGTGTGTGGACCATTTCTAGAACCTTCACTTGGAGGAAATAAAATTTTTGTGTCTTTTATGGATGATTTAACAAGAATGACGTGGCTAACACTCGTAAAGTTTAAACATGAGGTGTTTATCGAGTTCCAGAAGTTCAAGGTGAAGGCTGAGAAACAAAGTGGTCATAAGCTGAAGATTCTCATAACAGATGGTGGAGGTGAGTATAACTCTAGAGAATTCCAGAAGTTATGTAATGAAAATAGAATTGAGCATGAGGTTACTGCTCCTTATACTCCTCCACACAATGGTCTTGCTGAAAAAAGAAATCGTACCTTACTTAATATGACCAGAAGCATGCTGAAAGAGAAGAAGATACCTCATAATTTATGGGGAGAAGCTGTAGCCATCTCAGCGTATGTGCTTAACAGGTGTCCAACAGAGAAACTGAAGGAAATTGTTCATTTAGAAAAGTGGACTGGAGACAAGTAAAGTGTTAGTCATCTGAAGGTATTTGTTTTTGCATGTTACAAACACGTTCCAGGAGCTAGAAGGAAGAAGCTTAATGATAGAATCAAAGTAATGATTCTGGAGGGGTACCACAGTACATGTGCATATAAGCTTTATTGTCCAGAAACAAATAAAGTTGAAGTCAACAAAGACGTCATTGTAAAAGAATCAGAAGTATGGGATTGGAGCAAGTCTCAATCTATTTCTGATGATAAGTCAGAACTTGATATTTCTGAAGAAGAGTCAGAGTCAGATGATGATTCTAGAAACTCCGAAGATGAGTCAGATGGTGAATCTGGTTCTGATCCAAATTTTGATGATGATCTAGAATCTGGTGGTGGTCATGCTTTTGGAAGAGAAAACTCTGAAGACGTGGGTTTTAGAGGACAAGCTTTTGAAGATGATCATGTTTCTGGTGAAGGTCATGATTTTGAAGGTGGAACTTCATAAGGTAGAGGTTTTGAAAAAAAATTTAGAAGGTGGAACTTCTGATGGTGGTCAAGTATCTGATATTTTTCAAGAATTGGAAAGAGTTTCTGAACAAGTTTAGAGGCCATAAAGAATCAAACAAATACCAATAAGGTTTACAGAGTTTGACATGCTGCAAGATACTGAAGTAGATCCAAAAGGAAAAATTATTCACTGTGCCATGTTAGTAGACTCTGAACCTGTAAGTATTGAAGAAGCTCTCAAGAAGAAAGTATGGATGAATGACATGAAAGAAGAACTTAAGACTATAGAAAGAAACAAGACTTGGAAGTTGTCTAAGCTTCCAGATACGAAGAAAGCCATCAGCGTCAGATGGGTTTTCAAGGTGAAGCTTAAGCCAGATGGATTAATTGGAAAGCACAAATCAAGGCTAGTCGCTAGAGGTTTTCTTCAGAAACCTGGTCTAGATTACTTTGAGGTGTTTGCGCCTGTAGCAAGACATGAAACAATCAGATTGGTGATTTTTTTAGTTGCAAATAGAAATTGGCCTCTGATGCATCTGGATATGAAGTCTGTATTTTTGAACGGTCCATTACAAGAAGAGGTATACGTATCACAACCTCCTTGATTTATGAAAAAGAATCAAGAAGGGGTGGTGCACAAATTACATAAAGCTCTGTATGGGTTGAAACAAGCGTCCAGAGCTTGGAATTTGAAGATTGATTCATTTTTCAAGAAACAAGGTTTTTAGAAGTGTGAGATGGAGTATGATGTTGTATGTTCAGCATTCTGAAAGCAATGTGATTATGCTATATCTTTATGTTGATGACATATTGCTGGAGAGAAGTTGTTCTGAAGAAGTTGTCAAGTTCAAGAAGACTCTGATGAATGAGTTTGAGATGACTGACCTAGGAAAGATGGTTTACTTTCTAATAAAGAGACTCCCAAAAGTTCCTCGCATATGGCGTTGTCTTGGTTGACTCGGCCATTGACAGCCTTACCGTTGATCGGTAGACCGAATAACATGTACACGTCCTCTAGTGTGACTGTACATTCACCACATGGAAGATGAAAGGTGTGAATTTCGGGTCTCCATCTTTCCACTAATGCGAGAATAATTTTATAGTCAACATGGTAATTGACTATGTTGAGTAACAAATCAAAATCGGCATGTCGTAAGTACGGTTCAATTTGAACGTCGTAAGGGACATACTCATGGACACGACAACGAAATATTTTAACATCCTATTAAAAACATGAATTACGTATAAGAAATACAAGATTTAGGTATAACAATCATAAGAATTAAGGAACAAAAAATTGTCGGTAAAAAATAGGCATTAAGGAAAATACACTTACAAAGGTTTCAATGTTGTTCGAAGTTCCTCCATATTGATCACCCATGGTCAATAGAGACATTTTTTTTTGATTACTCTTGTGTTGTTGAGACTTCAAGAAAGAAATAGTGTATGAGTTATGATTGTGATGAAAATATAGGGTGAATGTTACATGTATTTATAAGAAAATCTTGAAGAATACTTTGCATGCAACTTATACACATAGGCGCCACACTAGGTGGCACATGCTCTTCCTTATTGCACATAGGTGCCACACTAGGTGGCACATGCTCTCTTTATTGTACATAGGCGCCATTCAACATGGCTTCTTGCTTTTTGTATGCATGCAAACCTGCAGCGTGGCAGGGATCAGATGGCATGCATGCAAGTTTTGTTGTTCAATGACAAGCCACTCTAGGTGGTGCATGCATGCAAAAAGAGGAGGATAAGCCACC